CAGTTCTCAGTTTGAGGTGGAATTGTCTCAACTTTCCCTTTGATTTTTGTCTAGCTTAATTATTGTCGGGGCTGCACAGTTTCCAAAGAAAACGTCGTATGATTGAAAAGCCAGCTGTTCCCTTAGAAGCCATTTGGATGAAAAATACTCGTGTTTGAACCATGATTCCCATTCCATTGATGGGGAAAATCAAAGCATAGGGATGTGAAAGGACTTGCCTTGTGCTGGAATTGCAGCCTGATCCTGTGCACAGTGTGTCGAGCAGTGGCTGAGGTAACAGCAAGTCCAACTCCATCTAAAAAGGAATAAAGGTACCAGTGAGCCTGAACTGAACGAGGAGGAAGAAACCACAGCTGTGATTTTGTGCTGTCCCCCTGTGTACAGTGAAGCTCTCCTGGGAGCTGTTTAGGGCTTTCCAAAGGGGAACAAACAAAAATGCAATAGGCAATGACCCAGCAAGGATCTGATTCATGTTATGAGTAGCGGAAACAAAACAAAACTTGTTACAGTGGCAGGTTTAGTCATCTAATCCAACACCTGATCCAGCCTCTTTAATGAGGCATCATAATGCCAACATCTACAACAACTCTTAGAAGGAAACATACTGTGGAAGGTTTCTTTCCTTCATGCGAATTTCTAACCCATCTAACCCAAGGACTTTCCATTCAAAAGGTTTTCCCTGCATGAAAAAAGCAGCCAGAGTTTGCTATCAGTGGTTGGCAGCAGAAATGTTGCTTTTCTTTTTAAAACAAATTAATGATTACTGGTTGTTATTGTTTTCTCATTAAAAGCAGAATGTTAAAGCAATACTTGAGTGCCCAAGTATTGCTCTCTAAAGCAAGCTTCATTTTCATAAGTATTTTTAGCCTCTGTGTGGAGGTCAGTGGGTGGTTGGTGGCTTAAGTAATATACTTCAAAATTCCCAGTATGAACCATGGGGGGGGGAGGGGAAACCAGCTTGAAAATCACATGGTTCAGCTATAAAAATACAGCTTGCCCTTTTTTTGTGGTTTTGGTCTTTTTTTTGGTTTGGTTGTTGTGTTGGTTTTTGTTTGTTTGTTTTCAGAAACATTAAAATTTGTTAGCCAGCATGCTAAGAATATATTTTCCCTTTGCAGTCCATTATAGAGAAATGTACCTGTTGCTGGTAGAGCTGATGTCCCTCAGGGAACCATTCCCACTGCCAACTAAACACTTGGTTTTCATGGAGAAGTCTTGAATTCTGCATTTGCCAGGGTTGTTTTCATGCTCCCAAGTGATGACCAATTCCCCAAAATCAGACAGATTTTCAGAGCCTGAAGTGGAAAAGAAAGATGTCTTTTCATGCTTGCAACAATTATTTGTTTTTGGAAGGCGGACACTATTTTTGAGGTGATAATATAAGTGATCTTAATTCTTTCGAGCTTAAAGATTCTGTTCACTTCATTGTCACTTCTAAATATTGCTGAGGTCTTCCATTTGAAAAAAAAAAAAGAAAAGCCTTTGAAGGTAAATAGTCCATTTTAACAGGCTTACTCAGAGCTGCTCGTTCTTTGCCTGCTCACAATCCACATGCCTTTAATTGCAGTATTAGTAAAACTAATATCTAAAAAGGTGGAGTTGTGCTAATGCCAGCAAAATATGCTGACAAACAGGTGCCTTGTCTGGATAGTTTTGGGGTTTAGTCCTAGTTATAGCATTTGGGCCTTTCTGGAGATAATTACATTTCTGCTGCCTTAACTAAGCCAAAGCTTCAGGGTAGGGCCACTCTTAAAATCCCTTTCTGGATTGTTTTCTGGTTTAAAGCCCAAGATCAGGTTTGGCTTTTCCAGTGCACCCATCCCTTTTGGTTTGAAAAAGGGAATATATTTAGAGGAAAGAGCCGCATCCACCTTCTTTACATCCCGTTACAAGTATCTGAGACCAGAGATTTTTTCAGATCCGAACAAGGGAGAGGGTGGCCTCTTTCATGAATGGACCAAGATGGAATGTTTTCATTTCCAATGGGCTTTAAGCCAAGTAAATATTAGTCGATCCAAACTAGTTTTGAAATTAAATTATTCGTATTTGTTGGAGCGTTCCAGAGAATGGCTTTGATCTGTCTGTACTTTCACCAAAGGGATATTGGCAGGCTGGCCTCCCATTTCTAGCCATTCAGGATGAAAGAAGGGTTATAATAACCACCTTGTGTGGCAGTGATACTGAACAGATGACATTTTTTGGACAATATTAAATGAATAAAGGTAAACATACTTCAATTAAAATGTTTTTGGAGGCTGAATGCAATAGGGCTGTTGGAAAGTCTTCTATGTGGGTTGGAGGAATTTGCCTGCATTTGTAACTGATTTTCTTTAACTCCAAAGATCTTGGAAAGAGCAGGGTTTGTTCTGTGCGTTATTTCCTTTCCAAATAAATGCGTTGTTTGAATATAACTTAACAATCAGACTAAAATTGGCAGTGAACAATGAAGTTGTTGGTAAGTGAGAGGTAGAGATGTGTGTTGAAGAAAGATGAGATCTGGAATCTCCGATCACCTCACGCACAGTGAGCTCTGCCAGGCACGGTACAACTGAGAGGTAGCTCAGATGACACCTGTCAGTAGAGTGAAGCACATTATCAGTCTTACCAAAGATATTTGGAGACAACTTAAAACTTCAAATTAAACAAGAAATAAGATGCTCAGCGTTCCACAGTCTTTGTTGAAGGTGGGAAGCAGGGTGGAGGAGCACCATAAAGTGCTGCTTAGACACAGCTGAGGAGCCTTTTAAATTGATATCAGCTGATGATAATTTATGCTCCCCCTAGACTTAAATGATACCTTAAATGAACTGAATTAAAATACAAAGAATGGAACAAGTTATTTGGAAAGAACTTCTAGAAGTCACCTGGTCTGACCACCTTCTAAATTAGGTCATGTATGTATATAAGAAGTTCAGTTTATGTTTTGTGTCCCAGCTTAGAGTTCAGGTTATGTGGAACCTCTGGTGTTGGGGTTTCTTACATGTATTTACTAGTTCTTTGTCAATAACAAAATAGGCAAATTATCTCTTGTGATATTGATGCAAATTAAATTGCTTTTCCTAGAAACAGGAGTAGTTTGCATGGATAGACAGATGTCGCACTCCGTGTGGATTTGCTTTTCTTTCACAGAGGTTGGACTAGCTGTACTTGATTTCTGAGTCAAATAGAAGAAAAAATCTCCTTTAACAGATATCATGTTAAACACTCAGTGCTGTTGGTGAGTGTTCAGAAGTGCCACCTGCATTTGAAGTCTTTCATGTTCATGCCTTAAGGGAGAAACGGTTTGAACAAAGATGAGTAAAAAAGCCAAAGCACAAAGGGTTTGTAGGTTAAAACTTGAGCTTTTGTTTTTTTGAACATCAGCTCAAAACTGGATCCATTTGCGTGAAATGGAATATTTAGTTTTCAACTCAGCATGTGGACTGGTCATGCTTGAATTTAAAGCTTGATTTATTTCCTTTTGCACCTGTTTTTATTTTAACACTGACTCTATACAAGATATGCTTTTGTTACATGGTTCCTTTCTCCCCAGCTGGAAGTCTGGTCTGATATTATCGCATGAGACCTTCCTAAAATGCACACTTGTAACTCTACAACTTCTGGAAATGCAAATGATATTCAGGGTTCTTCTTTTTTTTTTTTTTTTTTTTTTTTTTTTTTTTTTTTTTTTTTTTTTTTTTTTTTAATTTTTGGATTTTTTTTCTGTGTGTTACAGCATTGACCCACATATTTGGTTTTAAGACCAGAGGCTGGTCATGTACTGCACTGCAAAACCTCATTTCTATCAAAGCAAGGTGCAGTCCTGCCCCTGGCAAGAGTACCAGACAGGCTGGATCAGAGGAGAACTGGACATGAACTTGGAGGAGGAAGAGTAAGAGGAGCTGAGGGAGAAAGGGGGGAGTTGTGAGACAGAGCGTGGGAAGGCATGCTAGAATGGCAGGGGTGTATGGAAGGGCTGGGAAGTCTGGGAATTTTCTGCAATAGTTACATTTGACAAAGAGAAGGGATGAACTGAGTGATCTTAAGGAGAAGGTTTTAAAGGAAATTAGATGTGTATTTTCTTGACTATGGAAATTAGAATTACATAATCTGTAATAATAATAAAATCTTTTCCAGATTTCCAGCCGTAACCATATGCTCAATGGGATGGTGGCAGAGAGCTGGCAACCACAGCTGCACTGTAAAACTGGGGCATCCAACTGGTTTTGATCTTGATAGAAAAAGGGCAGAAGGTCATGTTACAGACCGTTGTTCCCATTGTCTCGTAGTTTATATAATCTTTCAGGCTGATAAATGATGTATGGTGAGATGTTGGAGGCATTTTTAGAATTTTAGATGTGGCATTTGGGGACGTAGTTTAGCGATGGACTTGGCAGAGCTGGGTTAATGGTTGGACTCGACGATCTCGGAGGTCTTTTCCAACCTAAATGAGTCTGTGGTTTTAATGATCAAATGAAAATGCTTCACTCAGTTGTGTAGTTACTGCGAGCCATCCTCTTTCCTTGCCTTCCCTTCTCCATGGAAAACTGAGGTTGATGGATATTGGCCCTGTTCTTTTCCATTCAGGTGTAGGCATTTCAGGTGTATTTACTGTCTCCTGTGCTAGGTTAACTATGATAACTGTGTGTGCCCTTTTTAAATATAATTTTTACTGATAGCAAAATTGAACAAAATGATAAAATATACTGAGATACTGAAACAAACCCTAAAACTAAGCGTTTTTTGGACTTGGTGTCATTTTACCATATGAAGTTGCTGTTTTGAATATACCGTGGAGATTTCTGTGTCTTCCCAGAGCTGGGCTCAATATATTTTCTACCCTGTTGGCTTGGTGTGATGCTAGAGATTACTTGCATATCTAAAAATTAGGATGGGCCCCAAGTTGTGTGAAAAGTGTGTATGAACAGAGAGTGTGAGCCCTGTTGGTAGAGAAGTTTTATTTTATATGGTGCAGTTCTTGGTCACATAAACCTAACCTTGTTTCTTGTTCTATTTCCTAGGGTGACTCTGTTATTACAGTGCAGCTGACTGAGGAAGATAAAGTTGAAGATGATGTAGTTTTTTATTTGGTCTTCACTGGATCAACTGTCCAACACTGCACAAGCACAAGAAAGATTAATCCTGGGAGTCTGGAGACAATTTCTCCTGGTAAACAATTGCCTTGCTTTGCATATCAGTGTATCAGTCTATGAAATTTGGTTAATAGGAGTGGACTGGAGTGTAATGCTGTTTTGTTGTTTGTCTTACTCCTCATTTACAAATTCTCAGGGAATAGAATGGTTCGGGTGACTGCTTTTGCCTTTTAAAAATCTCTGTCTTGATTTTACTAGGATTAAATGACTTTGAGATTACAGTTATTTAATGTGAAACTGTGAGATTCTACTGTATAAAATACACAGTTATCTTTACCCATAGTAAAAAACTTTTAAATGCATTAAAGACAGCGGAGGACACATTTGCCAGGTTAGAGATGCTGTTGTACAAATGATGTACATCCTGGATGGTCCTAGCTACACTTAGCACCTGCTTGACTCAGTGAGGTTCGTTGCTGTAGTCCTGGTGCAGTACAACCCTTTCCCCTAAAACCTGCTCAGCATTTCTGGAACTCTTGCAGTGGCAGGGGATGTGTGCTGCTTGGTGCCACACCAAAGCCCACCGCTCTTCTTAAGCCTTTGTGCCATCAGCAAAACAAAACAAATCGGTGCAGCATTTCCCTTTGGTGACTTCAGGACCGTGGGAATGAGAGTGTTCCAGGCTGCAGTCCTTACCATTAACCTTTCATTCTGACTTGTTGCTATGCAGCACATTGCTGCTAGTGTGAGAAGAACGCCTGACATTTTCACTATACACAGTGTAGCTCAAGCCATCAAGTGTTTTTCTTGGGTTTGTCTTTTTATCTACCTCCTAAGTATGTTTTATGAAAGATGCACGTGGAGTAAAATTTGTGCTAAGGAGTTCTTTCTGCTGGGAATGAGTGGCTAAAAGTTGGCCACTCTATGTTGTTTCTATTGTTTTTTTTTTTCATTTCTTCCTCTTTTTGTGCTGTTCATGTTGTTCGGTTGGCTTGGGAAGAGAAGTCTTTTTATGGTTACTGATGGCTGGAGCCCCTTGCAATCAATTAGATTAGTGCTTATTTTCTCCCAGAAGAGGAGGAAGAAGGGGGTGACTCCTTCCCTGCTTTTGTGTGGTGGGCGTGGGGCTCTGCCAGCCCCGCTCCCAATGACCTCACCTCCCTCTGGGGACCGTGGCTGTGTCGCCAAGAAAGGAACTGAAAAGCTTCAGTGTTCCCCTTCAGCACATGTGGGAACCAGCATGCCTGGGGGGATTTCCGGGCAGGAGCGATGCTTTCCTGTCATCTCTGGCCCTGTTGTCCTCGGAGCAGCAGTGGATGTGGTCAGGGCAGTGGCTGCCAGGTGGTACCAGGGTGATGCTCTAGGCACTGCCTCTGCTGCCATCCACAGATCTGAGTGAGTCACCGATGGGGGCTCCCTGAGGCTTTTTTTGTCGCTGTTAGTGGGAAATCTGACTCCCTTCATGATTCAAAGGGAAAAGACGGCATTTCTCTCAGTTCTTCTTTTAGTAATAATGTATTGTTTTGGTTCTTTTTTACCCAGTGTAGTCATGATCTTCTGGCGTGTGATGTTAGATAGGGATGGGTGCTATCCCAAAATACAGCTTCTATTGGATAAAGATTTAATGGACCTTTTGCAAATGTAGTTCCATTCCTGCACTGGCCGGGGCTGTGGTGCAAGGGAAGAGGTCACATCTCAGGTGTGAAGTAACCATGTGGATAACACCTCTTCTGTGCTCATACCTCATTTTGAAGAAACTACCTAAATAAAAAATACTGTAGTGGTGAAGGGGGTGTGGGGAGAAGCAAAATGGGAAAGAACCCGAGTTTTTTCATACCCTCTGCTGACACCGGAGTGTTTGCCCAGTGTTGCTTCAGCACTGACTACTCTGATTTCAATGGAACCATGACTTGTTTCAGTCCAGCTCTTTCTCCTCCTCCTTCCTGGACACACAGTGAATCTGTAATCGTGTGTTTACACTGTATATTCGCCAGTTGCCTTGGAGATGGCTGTGGTAACTCAGAGCTGACGTTATTTGACCTCGCTGCAGGATTAGCCATGAACAAGAGACAGTGTGTGCGAGACCAGCCCTTGTTTAAACACCCAGGCCCAGGCACTCAGCAAGCGCTCTGCAACGAAACTCTTGCAAGCAGCTTTTAGACAAAATCTCGTACTTCACTTCCAGCTTTGAACATCCTTCATGTTTCCCTGCAGTGCAAGACGTGTTGCACATCCCTGGGAGCACAGCTGCTCCTTGGGGATGGCTCAGGTGGGTGAAGGGAGGGCTGATTAACTCAGGAACGTACCAAGCCTCTCTGCTTACCTTGAACCACCCCTGCTTCCCTCCTGGACTTGAAGGTTCTCCCCTCATTCTTGTTCCAAGTCCTCAAAATTTTGTATGGTCTCCAGCAGACTTCAGATGAAGTCCATTAGGGGCAGAGATCAAAGGGTGGTTACAATTCAGTTAAAGGTAATGTAAAAACAAACACAGATTTTAATTTTTTTTTTCTTGACTTTGTCAGTAGTTTTTTTGATGCATGGAGGCGTAAAAAACAGACAGAGAAATGATTTGATTACATTTGCTGCCAAAGTTAAGCAGAATGTTTGAGCGAAGCTTTCAAAGAAAATCACGTTTTAAGAAAAGAATCTCGACAACATAAAGTTGTTATAGTTGAAAAATTAAAGAAAATGGAATGGAAATGTAAGCTGTCAAAATACCTCCTAAATTCTCATTGTATGTGAAAATTCTCTATATCCTGAAAGACTTTACCCAAATAAAAGCTTGCAACTGCAGAGTTAAATGACTGCTGCGTTTTATATAATTACTAGAGCAATCTTCCTCTTTCTTATGCTTTCTTTGTCATCAGACTCAAACACTGAATATATATAGTTCACACTAGTGTTCAAATATAAGCTTTTATTTCTGTACATAATAAAAGAAGGGACTTCTGATTGTAAAAATATGGGAGCAGCTTTTTTTTATCTGAAAATGTGGCTAAATGTAGAGTCAGCAGTCACTCAAAGGAGAAAACACCTACCTGTATTTCTTTACTTGCTCTGAAGGATGGGGTGAGATGATTATTTATCCTGCCCTATTATTGACTGTGTTAATTTAAAGGAAATAATATCTCCTTATAAGAAACAGATTCTCATCTGAGATGATCAGTCATCACTTGAAGTATCAAAATTAGCTACTGAGATATAAGAATTAGGCAGTAGGTGATGCTTTGTGTGCTCTCAGTAGCTCTTTGCCAGCCTAAGGACACATCAGGTTGCATCATCCAACTAAGCTTCTGTTTGCCTTGGTGAAAATGTACCAAAACCTTATTTAACTATTGCTTTACTGTCCCTGTTAGAGTTCTTCAATTTCTAAATGATCTGGTTCAAATTTTCAGTGATTGGAGCAGTTTTCCTCAGTACCACTGGCACTGGTAGTTCTGCAGAACAATTTCAAATGCCGTTTTATCAGACACCATGTTAAGGTGGCAGCCAGAGGTGTAATGGTTCTGGATACTGCTCGAGTTTCGATATCCTTGTTTGCAAAAGCTTGGTCACTGGTGTTTGGGTATTAAAAAAAATACCAGAGGTCTGAGCAGGGAAGGAAGCAGAGAAATGATACCAGCAAAGAAATTATACCAGCTATGTTGCTGTGGTAAAACTGTTGTTGGCTGCTGAAACTGTGCTTTTGGGGATGGATGTGTCCACTTATGTCACAGATGCTCATCCTACCATTGTTGGTCATGAACTGAGCTTTTCAGCAAGTCCTTATTCCTGTAGCAACTGAGACTGCCACAGTCTTAATGTATTTTTTTTTCTCACCATCTCTGCTGGGTAGGGAAGGTCACTGAGGCCAAGCAGATTGCATATGGTAGCGTAGAAAATCTTTGCAAACCAGGGAAGTGAAACTTCATTGCAAGACATGGCCTGCCTCCCTGCTAGAGCAACTTTTTCCCCACTGAGAAAAAAACACAACCTCATAAAAAAAAAAAATCTGCAAATCATGATCTGGCAAACAAACCAGCAGGAGAAGGAACGACCTCATCACCACACGAGTCAAAACCCCCAACCACATCTTGCCATGGGCAGTGGAAGCCTCTCCGCATTGGGAAGCTCTTGGGCAGATTTGGGAGAATTTTCTTGCAGGAGCTGATGATGTGCTCGAAGCTCGGGTATTTGGGTGGTGCATCTAGTGCAAGTTTGTGAGCCACCACCGTAGCAGCTCATGATTGGGCACATGTTCTGCTTTGCATTTAAAGACTGGTGTGTAGTGTGTGGGAAATTTGAAATGAAATTTCAAATAGGGACTGAAATCCAGAGCTGCAGCAGCTCCTAATCAAATAAGTCAAGGGTAAGAAATACTCTGTCTGTGAGCCAAGTCACTGAAACAAGAAGTAAGATAATTTTGTGAGATATAATTGCCGTTGTAATGTGTTGTATCACTCTGAGCTCTGTAATACCAAAATCGCTTTTCTCTTGTTGGTTGATCTCAAAAGGTTCAGGTTCTTGTGTAGGTTTCAAAGGGGAGGAGGATCAAAATTGGAGGTAGAAAAAGGGCCTGAAAGGCTGTCTGTCTGCTGGTAGCTGCTTGCCTGCAGTTTTCACAGGGTTGAAACACTCCCTTTTTACTCCAAATGCCTTGACTCACTTTCTCTTCATGCTTAAGCTAAGGTGGAGAAGCTGCTTTGGTCTTTTAACTTGTTCTAAATTCTATAGTTCTCAGGGTTGGGTAGGTGGTTTTTTCCCTTTCTTTCTGCTAGTTAAAAGGATAGGCAAAAATTAATTTCAGTTAACTTGGAAATATCTTAATTTCAAACTATTTTTTTACTGTGAAATCCTTTTATATGCTCACGCTTTATTCTTTTCCACAGACTGTGTTTTCCCTTAAGAAACAACTCTTCACAGAAAAAGCAGTATTTCATGAGTTGCAATCTTTATACTGGTAGATGAAAAGGGTAAACAAGTTGCATAACAAATGGCCACTTGGCAGTACCAGTTATGGATTTGAAAATACTCCTAATTATGAAACAAAAAACCCCCTAAAATAGACTAAAACAGCATAGCCAAGAAGACTTATTG